GCACAAAAACCGAAGGATCCTATGCATACCAAACCACCATATAAAGGATTAATTATTCTGTGCGGATGCGGAATACCGTCCGGAGACCAACCAGATTGCTCAACATCACACCTTCGCTCGGTACCGCGGCTCGGTACCGCTCGACATCGCGGCTAGGTACTGCTGACGTGACGCATTCTCGTTGGTCTCCATACAGCATTTTGCATCCGGTCTCCGCACATAATAATCTCCATGTAAATGGATAATTATTGTGTAAGACAATGGAGTGGCTGTCAATGATGTTAGCATAAACTTTGTCATTGTGTTCACTACAAAAAAAAAAAAAACCAAAAAAAAAAAAAAAAAAAAAGTGTAGATAAGACAATGTATGGTCATAGGATCAAAATTTATGAAAGGATGCCTCTCACACATCTGTTTCAATCTAATCCAACGGCTGAAATATGATAGGGGTTAAAAGAAATGTGTGAAAAAAAAAAATACAATACTTTATTATATCATATATAAAATGAGAAATGAAGAAAAAATGATTAATAAATTCATTCCCGTCACAGTCAAAGCGCAGTCCACGTGGCAACTTTTTATTGGATATCCGGACCTATTTCTAGGTCCGATGTCCGAACCTAATAATTTTCCCCATTAAGGGGTCACTGAGACAAGCAAATTCAGAAGTTATCTCCACTCAGCTCCATAGTACAAAGATGTCTCTTGACTTAAATTTGATGATTTTTTAAGTAATATTTGAGTCAATCTTGACTTGACTTGTTGCTCGGGATCAGGCTCAATTTAAAAATTATAGAATAAAATATATTTAAAATTAATTAATCAAGCTCAAGCTTGAATTAGAGGTGACTCGCACCGGGAGCCACTAACAGAAAAGAACAACATAGAAGATGAAACAATAAAGCCAATTGCTGGCTATTCCCTGAAGCAATACAAAACGGTGGAGTTCATGAAAGGGAAATAAGCACAAAAACCGAAGGATCCTATGCATACCAAACCATCATATAAAGGATTAATTATTCTGTGCGGATGTGGAATGCCGTTCAGAGACCAACCAGATTGCTCAACATCACACCTTCGCTCGGTACTGCATCACACCTTCGCTTGGTACCGCGGCTCGGTACCGCTCGACATCGCGGCTCGGTACAGTTGACGTGATGCATTCTCGTTGGTCTCCATACAACGTTCTGCATCTGGTCTCCATGTAAAGGGCTAATTATTATGAAGTCATAAAATCCATATCAACGGAAACTTTGTTGTGTGTCAGACAATGGAGCGGCTGTGAATGATGTTTGCATAAACTTTGTAATTGTGTTTACTACAAAAAAAAAAGTGTAGATAAGACAATGTATGATTCTAGGATCAAAATTTATGAAAGGATGCCTCCCACACATTTGTTTCAATCTAATCCAACGGTTGAAATATCATAGGGGTTAAAAGAAATGTGTCAAAAAAAATACAATACTTTATTATATCATATATAAAATGAGAACTGAAGAAAAAATGATTAATAAATTCATTCCCGTAGTTAGAAAATAAACATTTGTAACAAGTAGGGTTATGATGCCAATCATTTTATGCCCTTCTTTTAAAGCCAACTAATTAGACAAGGAGAAGTATAAATAAAATGCCTAATTTCATGCTTCATTAGAGTTATTCATGTGTTGAGAAGTATTTGAACTATAATTCAATTGATATGCCAATTATAGCTATTAGATTTAGAATCTAATCAAATAGGGGCTTGTAAAGTGCTATGCCAAGCCATTCTGGCTCCACAACGCACCACAATCTTCCATCGAATAGTTGAATGTAGGAAGACTTGATGTACAATTCCTTGATTTTCATAATGTCATTTGTGCCATTAGAATAGGTGATTACATAGATTAGAATTATATCAAATGTTTTTGCAGTCCTTTGGTTAGGAAAAAAATGTCTAATTGTAATAAAAACTTTATAATATTATGAATAAAAAATTTAGCAATATGACCTTTTTTGGTTGGAGTAGAATTATTGAGCATAAAAAATTGCTTGCCTTATTTTATTATTAGAGAATGGCAAATAAACAACTTTTGTTGATCAACGGAGGAGGAATTATACTTGTTGCGGCCTAGAATATATGCGGCGATAGAATTATAATCCTACGTCTTAGTGTTGCATGGATATCCAACTCACACATAGAGAACACAAGATTTTTTTACGTAGAAAACTATGAAAAGGGGAAAAACTACGGGGTCTGACCCAGTTGAACATGATTCCACTAAAATATTAGTAGATTATAGTGGGCTGACTCGTCATTGAGTGCGATCAGATTACAAATTCCAACTACATGGTTAAAATCTAGCGACAAGCGGGGATGAAAGTTCGACGTCACTTGGTGCTCAAGCCGAAGTCCATCGTTATTTGGAAATTCTGGTGTTTGCTGGTAGTCTGGAAGAACTCCAACATCAGGTGGTGGACCAATGGAACTCCGGGCGTCAGGTGGTGCTTCGGCGGAACTCCGGGTGTCAGGTGGTGGTCCGGCGGAACTCCGACGTCAGGAGGTGGTCCGGCGGAACTCCGACGTCAGGAGGTGGTCCGACGAAACTCTGGGCATCAGGTGGTGATCCAGCGGAACTCCGGTCATCAGGTGGGTGTCCAGCGAAACTCCGGCTTCATGTGGTGGTCCTGCGGAACTCCGGGCAGTGGTCAAGGAAGCAAGTGCGATCTCCGATCTCTCTCTTGTTTCCTTAAGCTTAGGGTCCCTTTTCAAGAGAGAGAGAGAGAAAGAGGGGGGGGGGTCTATTTTTAGATTTCCTATAGTGGCATAACCCGTAAATTAGAGGAAGATCAAGGGTAAATGGGGAGTGGTTTGGATGGACTGCCGATGTTGAATCCCTTGACTATGAACCGTTCGCTAGACCTTTGAAGAACTTAATGATGTCGGAATTCCGTGATCATGGGCTCGTTTCATTTATCTCGTCGAGCCGCTCGATTCGATTATAAGCATGTCACATTTGGAAATCGTTTGGTAATCCAAATTGTGGTTCTAACCTTCCGACTGCTCTTTAGACCCTTGATTTGTATTCATTTGGACTCGGATTGAGTCAAATTTGGTGTCGTTCGGTTCGTATTTTTGAGACGTTCAATTTGTTTGTAAGTTCGCTGAAATCGGAGTTCGGATTATCCCAAATTTAATTTTGGAAGTTTTCAACTTTTCTTTTTTCCTCGAGATTCATGCGTGATCAATATAATTTTTTGAGGATGTATCAATAATAATGGGAGTTGTGGCAGAGTTGCTATGTGAGGGGAATATGGAGTCAAAAACATAATGAAAGTAAAAAATGTAAACTTTGGCAATATCAAGGGTAGATGAGAATGTGCTTGGAGTCTAGAGCTCTTTGATATGATTAGAGTCCTCCTACTTTTAAGTGAAGTACATAACTTGAAAGTCATTTTCTTCCCTATAATGCATCTAGAAGACTACACAAATGAGTTAGTTGGTCATTGATAAGCTTAGCTTCAAGCTTCAAAATTTATATAATAGTTTATAAGATTAGTTTTAAGTAAGAGATGAATATAGAGTTGTCTTTCTTTAAGCTAATGAAGATATTCTAAGATCTTAGAAACATACATTCACTCTTGATTTTTAATTGCATCCTTAAGCATTTTAAGTGTTTAATAAAGCACTTAGATGGGATTCTCAAATAATTTAATGATCTAATTATTATAAGTAAGAATATCTCTATATTTTGATAGAAGAGCCCTACATAAAGAGTAGTCAAAACGTAGAAGATGATGAACTTTATAATAGTTATAGAAAATATTTTCAACCAATAATTGATGAGATCTCTATCGATAAGAAAATCAAAATGATTATGGAAGCAAAAGTGCCCAATAACCAAGAGATCAAATACCCCATAGCTGAAAGTGACAATGAAATCATCAAATTTGTTGAGGAGAATGAGTCACCACTAGCTTTATACAACATCAAGCCCTTATCACCACTAGCATTATCTGATGAAAAAAATATTACAATTATAATTGCTCGTGATAATCTAGTCGCCATTACAGGATGAGGCAATCTCATTATTAGTGGCTCAAAGATGTTTCTTTTAAGCTTGTGGTTGACATTTCCATTACTTTATCATGAATTGATAATTCATAATTAATAATATGTTTCAACTTAATTTTAAAAGCATTTCATTTTATCTAAATCCTGCCACTTACAAAGGGAAAATTATTGGGTTCAGAGACCGGACGACTTCCGGAGCCCAATGAAAATGCGTCACATCACCTCCTACTCGGTACGAAGCTCGGTATGAGCTTGATAGTACCAAGCTCAGTACTGCTCGATATTGTCAAGTAACGAACTCAATACTGGTACCAAGTTCAGTATTACTCAGTACTGTGAGTACCAAATGGTAAGTTGTGTCCGATGTCCGGTGTCCGAACCCAAGAATCTCTCGTTACAAAGGGCAAAATAATTCTAATTATTTCCTTAACAAAAATCAAATTAGTATTATTAAACCATGGCTTAATAAGAATGCAAGATTTGGATCTATAAATTACATGAATTTTTTTTTTTTTTTTTTTTTTTTTGGAAAGGGATATCCACCCGATGTATCCTTCAAAAGGGCGTTTGACAGCATAACTTACCCTCGGCTAACTTAAAAGAAACACCCACCTCAAAAACCTCCTAACCCATACTTGATTGTGCCCCACTTAAAAGATGCTGCCGCTCGAGAGAAATAGAGCACGAATTGAGATGTTCCCAACCATATTTGCCCACGATCCATCTTCAACTTCTTTGGGAGTTGAAGCTATAAATTGCATGAAAAGTTTGCCCCTTCTAATATACCTCGAATAACTAGGACATGCATCTATCAGTGGATAACACCTTTAATCGGGTAATCAATAAACAGGATTATAATCTCAACCAAAACAATTGGTTGGTCAATCTCATTTCACAAGATTTCAAAGTCATAAAAAAAAGAAAAAAAAAAGGTTCAATCAAAGAACCATAATAAAAACAGCCTATCCTTTAGCCAAATATATTATACCAGGCATATTTTTACCCAACAAATATTTTTGAATGAATTAAAGCACTAAGTTAAACTTACCATCATTTACCCAATCACAGAGTTTATCATATTGATTGTAATGAGACCATAAAGCTCCTCTTCTCGGCGTAGGGATTAATCCAGTTGAATATATCCAATGAAATATAATAGCTCACACACATGGCTTCCCACTTGAGAATAGGCAAATCCAAATAACCCAACTGAGCCTCGAAGAGGAGGAAATGTAAGCAAACAAAGTCAAACATAAATTAAACATAAGCCTGGTTATCCAGACTTTGTGCTGCACCAGCAGACAACCATTTCATTTGACTTCAATCAAGCCATCCACTGTTGTTGTAAAGATCAATAGCCATTTATGTGGCGGTCAGTCGAACCCGAATAAATCTCCCTCGTATCTGTCAACCTGGAAAAAGGAATCTGTGTTCGGCCAGGTAGAATTCTCTGGTTTGTGTAGCGATTATCGACCGTAGAATCGGACATTGATCTTGAGAAAGCTTGAGCAAGTTCTAGAGCCGAGGCGGCTTTAATAACCCGAGGGCCTGGTGGTGTTTCGGGCTTGGGAGGCTCGACAGGTTTTCGCCATGTTTCATGCTCTTGTGGCCGTTCTATTGGCTTCTTCTCCATCTCCCTAGGATTTCTCCAGTTCTCATTTCTCCTTGAATTCCTCTGAGCATCCCCTTTCTCATGGTGGGGTTGATTATCTTTTCGCTCGGCATCCCTTAAGCTTCTGCGTTCGGCGGGAGATGACTCCATTGGTTCGATCTGATGATTGAAGGAAGATGCAGTAGGCTCCGGCTTAGAATCAAGTTTCAAGACATCAGGTCTAACCCTATAAGCACATTAGCAGAGAAAGCTCAGCATGTAAGCATACTCTTTAGAAGCAAATCCAGAACATTGTTTAACAAGAAGGAAAAGCAGCAAGGATGCATTCCATGAGAAGCTATTAATCGCAAATTTAACAAAAAATCACATCATAAGCTTCAGAAAATCATTAGTAAGTTCATAGAATCAAACAAAACAGGTTTGTTTTTTCATACGTGGGGTTGAGAAATGCTGTCAATATTTTCCATTAAAACATAATCATTAGCCATATCCCAAATATTTGAGATCAGCTTCATGAATCCTCTATTAATTCCTATGGCAAGCCCAAACTTCTGAGATCCTAGCCAGTCCCAGTTACAGCATCATAAAAAAGTTAAATAAAAGATTCTTAAATCAATTATTTAGAGATAGCATGATAAAAATTTCAATTAAATAGTTCATAAGCTAAAATCTTTTAATTGTTAGAATATTATTGTCAAGAATTATGGGTTGTATGAAAGAAAAGGCAATTTTTTCTACAAGAGTTATGATTCCCATCTTTCTGCAAGTTGAATGAGTTATGGCCCTATATATAGTTTTAACAATATTGATTCAGAGAAAGCATATGATAAAATTCCAAGAGAAGTGTTATGGAGAGTTCTTGAAAAGAAAGGATTTAATAATGCTTAATTGCTTATATTCAATCATTAAAGATATGCGTGCATGAGCTATTACTTTTTGTCCAAACACAAGGTGATTTGAACAAGTATTTTCCTATTTCAGTTGGATTACATCAAAGATCAGCCTTAAGCCCATATCCTTTTGCTTTAGTCATGGATGTTCTCACTAGACATTTGCAAGAGAATGTACTTCGGCGTATGCTTTTTGCTGATGATATTCTTCTTGTTGAAAAGACTAGAGGAGTTGAAGGTAAACTTGAATTATGGAGGTCAACCTTAGAATCTAAAGGTTTTCGCTTGAGTAAATCAAAAACTGAATATATGGAGTGTAATTGTAATAGTAATAGACCTAGCGGGGGGATTATGACTTTGGGCGATCAAGTCATCAATAAGAGTAAGCATTTTAGATATCTTGGATCTATAGTACAAAGTGATGGTGAAATAGATGGGGATATTCAGTAGATTTCAAGCTAAATGATTGAAGTGGAGGAATGCATCGGGCTTGTTATGTGATAGAAAAGTCCCCCACAAATTTAAGGGAAACTTCTATAAGATGGAGGTGAGTTCCGCAATGCTTTATGGTGCAGAATGTTGGCCATTAAAAGATAAACATAATACTAAGTTAAGTGTTGCAGAGATGAGGATGCTCAGGTGGATGAGTGGATTTACCCTTAGAGACAAAATATGAAATGAGCATATACGTGAAAAGGTTGGAGTAGCTCCAGTGGAAGATAAGATTAGAGAGAGTCGCCTTAGATGGTTTGGTCACATAAAACGATGGCCTTCCGATGACCCAGTTAGAAAAGTAGAGGTATTAGATTTGATTTATTTTAAGAAAAGTAGAGGTAGACCTAAAAAGACTTGGTTACCGTTCTATTGGCTTCTTCTCCATCTCCCTAGGATTTCTCCAGTTCTCATTTCTCCTTGAATTCCTCTGAGCATCCCCTTTCTCATGGTGGGGTTGATTATCTTTTCGCTCAGCATCCCTCAAGCTTCTGCGTTCGGAGGGAGATGACTCTGGTTCGATCTGACGATTAAATGAAGATGCGGTAGGCTCCGGCTTAGAATCAAGTTTCAAGACATCAGGTCTAACCCTATAAGCACATTGGGAGAGAAAGATCAGCATGTAAGTCTACTCTATAGAAGCAAATCCAGAGCATTGTTTAACAAGAAGGAAAGGTAGCAAGGATGCATTCCATGAGAAGCTATTAATCGCAAATTTAACAAAAAATCACATCACAAGCTTCAGAAAATCATTAGTAAGTTCATAGAATCAAACAAAACAGGTTTGTTTTTTCATACATGGGGTTGAGAAATGCTGTCAATATTTTCCACTATGACATAATCATTAGCCATATCCCACATATTGGAGATCAGCTTCATGAATCCTCTATTAATTCCTATGGCAAAGCCCAAACTTCTGAGATCCTAGCCACTCCCAGTTACAGCATCATAAAAAAGTTAAATAAAAGATTCTTACATCAATTATTTCGAGAAAGCAAGATAAAAATTTCAATTAAATAGTTCATAAGCTAAAATCTTTTAATTGTTAGAATATTATTGTTAAGAATTATGGGTTGTATGAAAGAAAAGGTAAATTTTTCTACAAGAGTTTTGATTCCCGTCTTTCTGCAAGCTGAATGAGTTATATGGCCCTATATTTAGTTTTAACAATATTGATTCAGAGAAAGCATATAAAAATTAAAAAAAAAAATCAGAGAAAGCATATGATAAAATTCCAAAATAAGTGCTATGGAGAGTTCTTGAAAAGAAAGGAGTTAATAATGCTTATATTCAAATCATTAAAGATATGTGCAGGAGCTATTACTTTTGTCCAAAAACAAGGTAGTTTGACCAAGTATTTTCCTATTTCAGCTGGATTACATCAAGGATCAGCCTTAAGCCCACATCCTTTTGCTTTAGTCATGGATGTTCTCACTAGACATATGCAAGAGGATGTACCTTGGTGTACGCTTTTTGCTGATAATATTCTTCTTGTTGAAAAGACTAGAGAGGGAGTTGAAGGTAAACTTGAATTACGGAGTCAACCTTAGAGTCTAAATGTTTTCATTTGAGTAGAACTAAAACTGAATATATTGAGTATAATTTTAATAGTAATAGACCTAGTGGGAGGATTGTGACTTTGGGCGATCAAGTCATTAATAAGAGTACACGTTTTAGATATCTTGGATCTATTGTTCAGAGTGATGGTGAAATAGATGGGAATACTATCAGTAGAATTCAAGTTGGATGGTTGAAGTAGAGGAATGCATCGGGCTTATTGTGTGATAGAAAAGTCCCCCTCAAACTTAAAGGAAAATTCTATAAGATGACGGTGAGCCCTGCAATGCTTTATGGTGTAGAATGTTGGCCATTAAAAGAGAAGCATAATACTAAGTTAAGTGTTGCAGAGATGAGGATGCTCAGGTGGATGAGTGGATTTACCCTTAGAGATAGGATACAAAATGAGCATATATGTGAAAAGGTTGGAGTAACTCCAATGGAATATAAGATTAGAGAGAGTCGCCTTAGATGGTTTGGTCACATAAAACAACAGCCTTCCGATGACCCGATTAGGAAAGTAGAGATATTAAATTTGACTTATATAAAGATAGGTAGAGATAGACCTAAAAAAACTTGGTTAGAAAATATTAGAAATGATCTTTCTTTATTAGATTTAAACGAGAATTTGATTTTTAATATGACACAAAGGAGAAAAAGGATTCATGTAGCCAAGCCCAAGTAGTGGGACAAAGGCTTGATGTTGATGTTGAATCGTTCTAACTATGCTTGTTTGCTGCTTACTGTTCCAGCCTTCCAGGATATGATATTTCTGCCCACAAAGGCACAAGCATTGTAAGTAAAATTTATATCTTCTTTAGGTCCAAAATAATATAGATAAAAACAGGCTTTGATTCTCAAATGATCATGTTTCTGAGACCAAAATTTTTCCTGGAGATTTATCACCACATCTTCCAATTTGTCGGATATCCTTCAGTGTATATTCCTTGGGTGATCACACCAACAACAAAGGATGTCATATCGAGAATTTTCATAATTTTCAACATTCTCTGAAGAATATAGAGACTTCATAAGAGATCCAAGGGGCTTACATCTTAGAAGACCAATTTCTTCAAGAAAGTTTATAGAGTGCTTTCTTTGAAAAAGAGGTCTTCTTTGCCATTTGTCCACTCGATGCCAAAAAGTATTTTTGATATCCTAGATCTTTGGAGACAAATATCTTCAGTATATATTATTTTGTTTAAATGACGCCTAATATATCAATTCCAACGAGAAGGATGTCAACATATATAAGCCAGAATCATCTTTTTAGAGGAAGAGTATTGAATAAAGATAGAGTGAGTAGTCATACTTCCCTATATCCAATGATAGCAATAACTTTACAGACTTTGATGAACTAGGCATGAAAACTTTATTTCAATCCGTATATAACTTTATAAAGCTTGTAAATTTTACTCCCCTGAATAATATACCTGAGAGGTTGCTTCGTATAAACAACTATAGTAAGATCCCCATATCATCCATTTTGACATAGGACATCCTTGAATAATAGCAAGAATTAAAAGAAGACGAATGAAGTTTAATCCAACATGTGAAAAAGTCTCAAAGTAGGCAACTCCGTGGATTTAAGTAACATCCAATCAGGATGAACTTAACAATAAGCACTCATTGATAAGAAATATGTGTAACTCCAACATGAGAGCTGCAACCACGGTGTAACCAATTCCAACGGATAACAAAAAAGAAGATCAATCATTTCTTTGTCCATAGCCTGCTTCCAATGAGGCCTCCTGATACGTCATGGTAATAGAGACAGTAGGCAAATAAAAAGCAACCCGATAAAAGAGATAGAAGAGATTATTATCAAAAGATCATAGCCCTGGATTGGATACCCATACCCACACCCACCCCCGTACCCACCCATACCCAATGAGCATGGGTGGGTATTGGTAAGCCGATGGCCTCATGGGTGGGTATGGGTGGGTACTCAACATCAAGGGAAAAATTGATTTACATTACTAATCACCATATGCATGCAGTATATTATAGTAATCCTTACTACGCAATGCGCAGCACTGAACTGCGTCGCGATCACGATAAATTTTGATATGTGGCTTAAAAGTTTGCCGTCAGAGAAAAAGGCAATAAATCCCAAGGCCATTAATCCGTGGTAGATTGCATTCAAGAAGCGTGGAAAGTGGGTGGGTGTGGGTGAGTATGACATCCCAAAAGTCATCATAAGTGGGCATGGGTGGGCAAAGCCTGCCAGCGCAGAGCGTGGGTACCCAATGGGTACCCAACTAGGACCCCATGTAGGGCTCTGCAAAAGATATAAAAGACTGTAGTTGATGGTTGGTACATTCGCATTTGCGCAGAGCAATAACCAAATGCAAGTGTGTTTTATCCATGGTAGGAGTTGTGGAAAGAAATGGGTGAGGACTGTAAGTATAAAACTATGAGTAAGGAGAATCAAGCATCGAGGCTAAAGACAATAAAGGTACAAATAAATACACAAGGGGATGTCTCATGAAAATTAACATCTACAAAAACAAATTATAGTAGAAGGATCATAGCACTCATAACCTTTTCTTAGTACAAGAATATCCTAGATAGATGCACCAAATGGCACAAAGAGGATAGTTTCTCATGGCTTGGGCAAAAAGAATGAACAAAAAAAACACACTGATGAAAAAAGTGCAGTTAAACTGTTAAATGAAAAGTTTCAAGGGAAGGGATTATAAAAAAGATAATTGAGTAATCCTTTCAAAACAATAAGAAACCTGATTGATTAAAAAAATACCATTAGAAAAATAACCCAAAAAATTGGTGAGAAACATGCTTGTGAAACATTAAAGTGCGAGCAGTCTCGAAAAGATGGTGGTGTTTATGCCCAGATACACCACTTTTTTAAGATGCATATGAACATCATGATTCATGTATAACTCCATTCTTGATACAAGAAAGAATTAAAAGAAGATTGTAAAAATTTAAGAGTGTTATCAATGCAAAAAATTTTGATTTAACATAGATAATTATTATTTTATTCATCAATAAAATAATTTGAATACTAATAAGATCTTAGTTCAGTACCCTCTTAAGATAAACCAAGATGCCTATGCTACAGACATCAACATAGGAAATGACAATGAAAATTAAGATGGATAGCGACAAGACTTGGCCCCTATATATTAGAGTGAACCAAGTTTAAAAAGAGCACTGCCATTGGTGCGTGAGGGGGGAGGGGGCACACATTGCTGTTTGTCAAACCAACATGCTTCAATTCAAATTACAAATCAGAAGATGGTATATGAGTAAAAATCCAAATATGTTGAGGAAGATAACCAAAACAATAGTGTCATTGTGAAGAGAAAATTATAGATGATTTAGTAAAATTAGCAAAATTGAGATAAAAATTTCTTGACAGTTTGAACATCTCCACCAATCATCTCCTACATATTAAAATCCTGAAAGATACAATGTCTAGGATAAAATATTATTTGAGTAGTTCAGAGTCTCGGTTAGAGAATGCATATATATTAAAGGTTGATAGAAAATTGTGAAATATATAGAACATTGTCCAGGGTCAAGGAGAAAAGACAATTTTTTTTCAGAGACCTAAGTACCATTGACCAGAACAATATCTAGGAGAAGCGTCATTGGAAGGGATGAAAATTATTGTTGATTGCCTTCCATAAGAGAGGAAACACTGCAATATAAAGCACAAGTTATACCAGTAGAAATAATGATAGCTAACCCAAAGGAAGAGAATACATGAGATGTTGAGATAAATGATTTTTTTAGAGTAGTCAATAATAATCTTCATGAGAGAAATAGAACAAAAATAGAAAGCGTCAATTGTATTCAAAATAGAGCTGTATAGCTGAATGTGGACATATAATATGCTGCAGTGAGATAATCAAATTCTCCCTGCATATTCAAATGGATGATTGATATGATTGCAATGAAAGCAAATTGGAAAGGTGTCATGGCCACAACTACAACCACCGCCAGTACAACCACTACTATATATATATATGTAAGACAAATTGTTTTCCTAAGAGTATGCAGAGCGAAAAAAAAAAAATCTCACGACTTCTTGGTAGTATGAAGCACGACAGTTGTAACAATGGGATGTTCAAAGCAATTTAGTGAGTCGGTAATAATAACATTTTCTGAAGCATTTCATTTTGAACTCTTGATAGAGAATAATATCCTCAGTTAAGAGGATTTGAAACCTGTTGAAGAGGTATCTTCTCTAATTTAACTTTCCGAAGATAAAATTTTTCAATCTAATTATTTTTCTACAACAACAATTCTTTCTAAACCTTTTTTGCAAGACATTCAAATATGATAATAATAGTTGGATTGTCGATGATGGTGGACATTTAAGTATGATGCAAAACAATAATTAGGAATGCAAATCCAAATTAGGAAAGGTGTTTATTGTTGAATATGTGGTGGATGGTGAAGAAAAGTTCAAAGTTATGCATCATTGTAATGAACATTAGCATATTACCTTACCCTAATTATTTGGATTGGCTTTACTAATCATCATACATTCATTCTTATTGAGTGCCACACGAGACATTAAATTTAATTTTTAGAAGTATTTCACATAACTTCCAATCATACTGTCTTTTAGCTATTTGTTTTATAATTCTTTCACAGGAACACTATCTACCATCTATTCAAACATCTTCCAACAATAAAACGAGCTCAAACTACTCCAATTTATTTTTGTGAACTTATCTTCAATAAGTGCTTCTCTCATTCTCTCCAATATAATCATGTCCTACTTATTATTGCTAGTTTTACTATGTATCCAACTTAAGCTTCTAATTTCTAACAGACACAACTTAGTTATAAACGACTTTTTTTATCATCCAACACTCACATCAAATATCACTTAAAAACCATTTTTATAAAATTTAACTTTAAGCCTCCATTGAACTTTTATGACAGTAATCCTAAAGCATTTATATGTTTTAACCAAGATTGTAAAAACTGGAAAGGATATAGAACCGAAAGAAAGAGAGGTTCGAAGTTTAATGGTTCAACGTCGAATTAGGGGTTAAATCAGATGATGTAATAAATATAAAAAATATTTAAATAAAAATTCAATGGCATAATGATAATGAAATAATCATAAAAAAATATAAATTTTTAACAAAAAAATAAACTGAATTCATATATTAATAATATCTATTATAATTTTAGATTTAAATACCTTCAATCTTTAAATTTAACATAAAAATTCATATAAACTTATTAATTTAATATCAATTATTACTAATTTATGTTATATGTTTAGATATAATTTACACATATAAATTATATATTAAATTCACATTACAAATTTATATAATAAATTATTCATATCAGATCATGAATTATTAATAATTAGTTATTTTTAGAGTGTATAAATAAATTATTTGTTTGTTATTAACTAAAAAATAAATATTATTTACATTATAAAAATACATTTAGAAAATTTGTTTAAAAATATATAATTTATATAACAAAATTAAGAACTTCAACTTATTTAATCACACATAACTTTAGAACTTCCTCTTGGTATTGTTTATATTTTCTTTTTTTATTTTGCATATAGTAAGGACTAACATGAAGTGGTAGAGCTATGTGAAATATTTAGTTAAATTTTATTTAACAAATAATTGATTTAAGAATTTAATGCTTATTAAAAAACTAAAAATAAAATAAATTTTAAATTAATTTATTTAAGTATTTATATAATTTATTAAATTGACTAGTTCAAAAGAACCATGACCGATTCTGGCTATATCAATGTGGAAGCAAATTTTACAATGAACCAGACCAGTCATATGACTAATTCACGGTTTAATCAGTCGAATTGACCGGTATGGTCCAATTTTTAAAAGCTTGATTTTAACTATCCAATTTTATCATAAAAAATTATGACCTCATCCACAACTCATTCTTTGGATAGTAAATCGAAGGAAATTGAAAATATAATGGATATCTATTACTAAATCTTCTGGTAATATTGATTGATTCATATCAACTTTATATACCATAGAGTTTTATACAATGTACTTAGTCAGTTAGTCTAAGTTGCACTAATTGTGAGCCTTTCTATATTTAAACCGGGTATATCTCAATTGCTCAAAAGTTTGTATTTACTTCTTAAGTGATCACAATACCAAAATAGTCATTAGCAAATAACATATACCAAGATATCTTATTTGAATTTATTTTTAAACATCTAGATAACTGGCAAAAAATAAAACAAATTACTTTTAGGTTCTTAATAAGAACTTGATCCAGTAATTAGAACTTGATCCTCAAATTACTGGACTAGTAGTAGAAATAAATAATAATAATTCTAAATTCAGATGATTTGCATGTCAGCTCAATAGTGTCAGTTTCAATATATAAACAATTGTGAACCGCCAGCAAATAAAGGAAAGACAAAAAAATATAGCAATTTTTTTTGCAACCATCAACTTATAAATAACAGCCAGAGCATTCCAGACTCGGTTTAATGCTAGTATAGTCGTTGAGAACCAATTTCATAATTTCTCTACAAAAGACAATATCCTTTGTACACAAGCACAAAACACTAAGTTCAACCAAACAGGGAAGATTCTATGGTGACTTTTGTGTTTGCACTCATAGGAAACTTCGACCAGAAAAATGATTAGTCAAATTCTACTAGTTTTAAATTTTAATTTATTGAGCAATTTTCAATTTCTTTAAGTATATTTTCAATTTCTATTAATTTTTAGAATAAAGGTGATGCACAAGATTGTGTGAATAATAGAGGAATTAAGTTAATGTGTCATACATTAAAACTATGAGACAGAGTTAATGTGGCATGATACTAATGCTTCTCAAAATCAATTTGGATTCATGCTGGGTAGGTCAACCATGGAAGCTATACATTTATTGAGAGGTTTGATGGAGAAGTATAGAGAGAATAAGGATGATCTACATATGATTGATTTAGAGAAAGCATATGATAAAGTTTCAAGAGAAGTACTATGGAGAGTTCTAGAAAAGAAAGGGGTTAATAATGCTTATATTCAAGTCATTAATGATATGTAGGCAGGAGTTGTTAGTTGTGTTCAAACACAAGATGGTTTGACCAAGTATTTTCATATTTTAGTTGGACTACATCAAGGGTCAGCCTTAAGCCCGTATCATTTTGCTTTAGTCATGGATGTTCTCACTAGACATTTGCAAGAGGTTGTACCCTGGTATGCTTATTGTTGATGATATTCTTCTTGTTCATAAGACTAGAGAGGGAGTTGAAGGTAACTTGAATTATGGAAGTCAACCTTAGAGTCTAAAGGCTTTCGTTTGAGTATATCTAAAACTGAATGTATGGAGCATAATTTTAGTAATAATAGATCTAACGGGGTGATTGTAACTTTGGGCGATCATGTCATTAATAGGAGTACATGTTATAGATATCTTGGGTCTATTATTTAGAGTGATGGTTAAAATGATGAGGATATTATTAGTACAATTCAAGTTGGATGGTTGAAGTTGAGGAATACATCAGGCTTGTTGTGTGATAGAAAAGTCCCTCTCAAATTTAAGGGAAAAATCTATAAGATGGTGGTGAGACCTGCAATGCTTTATGGTGCAAAATGTTGGCCATTAAAAGAGAAGCATAATATAAAGTTAAAAGTGTTGCAGAGATGAGGATGCTCAAGTGGATGAGTAGCTTTACTCTTAGAGACATGATAAGAAATAAGGATATATGCGAAAAGGTTGGAGTAGCTCCAACGGAAAATAAGATTAGAGAGAGTCGCCTTAGATGGTTTGGTAACATAAAACGGCGGCCTTCCCAATACCCGGTTAGGAAAGTATATGTATTAGATTTTACTTATACTAAGAAATGTAGAGGTAGACCTAAAAAAGACTTGGTTAGAAAAAATTAGAAAAGACATTTCTTTATTAGATTTAAATGAGAATTTTGACTATTAACATGGCACAACGGAGAAAAAGGATTCATTAGCCGACCCCACATAGTGGGATAAAGGCTTGATGTTGTTGTTGTTGTCATTAACATTCATTCATCATCCTAGTTACATTAAGAATCATAAATTCTTAGACATCTTACAATAGTAGAATTCTACCACCCTTATTTATAATTATTACAAAATCTTCTTCTATAATACCTAATCTCCCACTCAAATCTAAATAAGATGATGGATAGATTGCTAAATATTTTAATATAAATGGAAGTAAAGAAGGCCACAACTCCCGCAACCAAAGGTGAATTCCACAAATCGAAAACACCAATTAAACATAAGTTGCAATAAATGTAGCAGTTTCATCATCAAATCACAATAGAAGGAAAAAAAGACCTGCAAGTCCCATGGCAAGTGTTGAAGGAGAAAGGAGGTAATAATAACGATGATTGTAGAAGCTCCAAATCAACTCTACCCTAATATATTCTTCTCATCAACATCATTATGATTGGCCTAATCCCCACAATTTGGGATTTGGCATTATCAATCCCCATTTTTTATTCATTGCTATAAATATTTTCTGATGTGTTTAATCTGTTCTTCACAAATCACTAAAAAATATGAATAATGTGAGAAATCAATTCTAGTTCATTTTAAATGGTAGGTATTCTTAATTTTTAAACCTACTTCACCCAAACCAAACCAATTTTTAAATTAAATATGGAAGATTGATAATGCTATGAATTTATCATTTGACCACTTAATTCTTTGCAACCTACTACTCTTATAGAATATCCTCAGGTGGCTTCCATCTCCAACCCCATGCTCAGATTAAATAAACATCTAATGTTGATGACTTGAAGTTGAATAAGACTTAGAATATAGGTCATGCAAACATATGCATGCATATATTTGCCAAAAGTGTGTAAATACTAGAACTATATGCTAAATCATTTATATAATCATCTCTTCAAATTCTTCATCATCTATTAATGAGTTTGTAATACAAGATCATTTCAATCATCAGATTATTACCCAAATTGATTTTTTTGTCAAGTATCCATTTAATATTTACACGTGTTTGATTATTTTTTAAATTTAGTACCACTGAAGTATCTTATTTTAGCATATTTGTTTATCTTTAGTGTGCATTCATGTCCGTGTTTATAAAAAGGCTGCCTTGGAATCATACAAAAATCAATTCACTAAGTGTGGAGTAAAATTTAAGATCTTTTTTTCCTATAGTCGCTAGCTACCATCCCCCATTAACTATCAAACTCCTTGTATAAATCTTCTATATCAATTAGTATAAGAGCCAACTCATCTAAGATACTCACCAATATCTTTCTCTCTAGCAATTACCTGCATCACAACTTACCTCACGCCCATTCGCATGCTCGACTATTTCCACCCCACAATGTGCACCACCAAGCATGCTTCTCCTTGCTTCAATCCCACTATATCATGGTTATGCTGGTCATGTTTTGCACTTACAATCTCGCAATTTCACCCAATCTCATCCAAGTTCAATCCATTGAAATTTTGCTCCACCTCATTACTCAATACCTCTCATGCTCCCATATGTTAGTTTTATCGCTAATCATGCTCTAGCCATAACGCTGCATATGCTTATGTTGCATCACCCTCGTCTCATCTCCTGCTTCTAACAAGCGCAAAAATAGGAAAACACATCAAGTTGCCTACTTCTATGTGCATGCAAACCCTAGTTACTATCCTCCTTATCTCCACCTCTTCAAAATCGAGGAACCATAGTTTTGATGTTCATTGTCCTTTGGATATTGGCAAGTCTTTGATGTATATAAATCCAGTTATAAGAGTTACCATCATGATTGGACAATACAAACGTTTAGAACCACAGGATCTCCACACCATTAGAAATGTGCAAATGTCAGCTAAAGATTTAAAGCTCGATATGGGCTCAAAGACATCAATAATAAGCTCCTGTTCCCTCAATCTCATTTAAAGCAGCAACTTAAAAAAAGTTGAAAATTTCTTGTTACAAGTGGAGCAATCTCCATCTATCTCATTTAAAGCAGCAACTTAGAACGCTGTCAATGTTTGTCATAATAAGCTCATGTTCCTCTATCTCATTTAAAGCATCAACTTAATAAAGCTGGAAATTTCTTGTCAAGAGTGGAGCAATCTCCATCTATATCAATGTTTGTCGCACTTCAAGCATTCATTACAAAGGATCTTTAAAGGCACCAAGATATGGATTGACGGTTGCAATTTCATCTTGTCTTAGTGAAATAACAAGAATAGTTGCACTAAACACTCAATATAATGATGATATAATGAAGTCAATATTTTGACCAATAGTGGAGCTTTCAAGAATTTGTAAGAGTTGCCAAGCCATTCATTTTCTAAAAAAAAAGTTGTAATACTCTGAGACAATTGCCAATTTTTGGTCTTGTGTTTAGGTGAGAATTTGAATATGACGATTCAATTTTTGACAAATTCCATCATTTCCTGAAAAGAATAAGATCAAAACATTTAAATGATATATTTCCAATGGAGACTATCATGACAAGTGTTATAAAATCCAAAAATATCTCAGAAGGCTTCTTTCAATGCCTCTTGAATCAGCTCAAAATTGATGAAATGAATAATATTTCATCAACAAAGAAATATGTCAAGAATGTCCTTGCCTGCCTTCTAAGCGGTTGCATGAAGCCTTATGCCTATTCCTGAGTTCGGCTGGCTTTCGCTTTCTTTACTGGTTATTAGTGGGCTCTTTTTCCTTTTATGATTACTTTCTTATGTTGGATGTCTCTAGTTTTGTATTTTGCTCTATCCTTCTTTTGGACTTGCTTGTATTCTCCTTTTTATTGAATGGAAAAAATGTTTTACAAAAAAAAGTTAGGAGTCTTAAAGGTTAAAAAAATCAAATAACAAAGTAAATTACAAAACAACCCATGCAACCCTAAATTCTTCCCTAACAACCCACCTTTCCCTCCAAAAATCAAATAGTGGGCCCACCAAGGGGGCTGGCTGAGAGTCCGCCTTGAGTAAACCTAGGCCAACCCTTTGCTTAGGGCCGACTGGACCGGTCTAATAAAAAACATCATGATCAAATGATTATTAGCACTTGAGCAACCATAGCATCACCATTTACCATTACTATTTTCATTCCTTCATTCTCCTAGTTTCTGACTTCAGATAAGAGCAACCATAAATATTGGCTACTTCTCTAACAACAGAACACCAAACTTACAAAATATAACATCATAACAGCATTTTATATTTGGCTACTTCTCTAGCAAATGAGCACCAAAATTAGAAAACGGACCATCATAACAGCATTTTCTATTTTCCTATGCATGCGTGACTTCTAAAAAGTTCAATGATCCATCACAAATACTCAGAAAGAATAATAGCATGTGTTGCTGCCAAAAAAGATAATAAGGATCATAAAATATGCACCCTACTAATGCCTCAAATTCCCAAGGAAAAAAGGTATGATGCTCCCTTTGGTTCTACATCAGCCATTATTTTGGAAATCCCGAGAGGCAAAAATCACAACTATTTTATCATCATTATTTTTGGTAGTGTTCTCCATCCCAACTCTCTTCCATCTTATTCCTTTAACCTCTAAAAGATATATTTTATGATATGCCCATCAGTCATAATATAACTTTCCACATGAAGTATAATGCGCCAAATAAGAAGTCCTTAGTCTATCTTCATCACCTTAAAATTAATTACTTAGGGCCAATTTGGTAGCAGAATACGCCAGTGCCATTGTAGTGTCTAAAAATCTATAAGAACCCAGTTTGAAACTGGTTGGCAGTCATAATAAACTCAAAATCCAATTTAAACTATTCCAAAGATGGATGAGCTAAACTTAGCTCTATTTCATTCCAAATTCTGAATTTTTTCTCCTTTAGTCCAAGGGAGCACACAAAAAATACTTATAGGACAATCATTAACATGTTGAAAACCATCTTTATCCAAAAATTAATTAAGTTAACAAAAGACATTAAGAGGTTACATGTTTCTTTTTTTTTTTTTTTGAGTCAATTAAGACAAATTCATTCATACATTACATATGCAAGCTTAGAACTCAAGACCTCTAGATTGGTTGTCAAAGCTATCAACCAATAGATCAAGGTGAGTTGCGCCATATAAAGTAAAAGATTTAATTGGATGCCAAGTTCAGTTTATAATCAACCATCTAATTTGAAGAAATAGCATTCCTTCCGTGATTTAAAACTTCATGAAAGGGTGTGCCTGACAAGATGTAAAAGAGTAAACAGATAGTTCAAGAAAAAAAAATCCAGTCAAGGGAATGATATGAGGTCCTTCATATACAATATCTCACCTAGTCGTGAGCTCCAAAAGTCACTAGAGGATATAACATAAACAAGAATAATCCCTTACCTCTCCTTTTCATAACTTTCATCACGCTGTTCAACGTGCTGCGAGCGGGGCTTTAGATTCAACTTTGGGCGTTCAGCTGGCCTGCTCACAGCATCAGCTCCAGCTGACCCTGACTTCATCTTACCCACAGTTCTACACATTTCTTGAGGTTCTTCCATATGCATCAGAGTAGTTGGATATAGATACCCCTGCAAGAGAAGTTTCTTTATAATCAAATATAAGCAGTAGTTCAGATTGCAAAACAGTTTTAAACACCCACAGCTCGATCCTTTTCAAAGTTTGATAAACTAAATATAAGCAATCACAATAGCTTATTTGAAAATGGTCATTTGATGGGTTGTGTTAGTAACTGATTTGGTTAGGAATCTAACACACAGATTAAGCGGATTATCTACTTATCCAAAATAAAACCAAAAGAAATCACTACCTGCTTGTCCTCCGATATCGTAGCATCAGAGGGCTCCAATGGCTTCGTCCTTGGAAGCAACTTCAGCTTTGGCCTCTCTAAAGCATCATCCAGAGTATGCTGATAGTGTGATGTCGCTACCCTACCCTCATGAGAAACTGGCCGAGGCAAATCAGACTGATATCCAAAAACGTTTATCTCCTTGTTTTCCGATATCATCCTCTCCTGCTGCAGAAAACCATCAGAATGAAGGCCACCTAATTTCCTATCCTTTACTCCAGAATAAGGGGAAACCCTTCCCAAATTCCCTTCCTCATCATTCCAAATCGGAACACTATCCACGGTCCTCCGATCCAAGCTCTCCACATCCTGGAATCTGATCACCTCCACATCTGGTGGCTTTGATTGCCACCTTCCCGAAGAAACCTTCTCAATCGCACTAGCCTGTGCAAATCTAGATGCAGCCGCAGGTCCAGACAATGTCACGGAAGGATGGGTCTGCGGTGGCTCGGTAACCATACCTCCTTTAACTGGTGCTTCCTTCCTAGCCGCCCACGCATTGCCGGCAGAAGAAGTAGAAACTCCGGGGGATGGGGAGAGATGTTGTGCCACTACCGGACTGGAAACAGGGCGTTTGGGATCCGATCGCGCGGATGCCTGAGACGCAACGACTGGTTGAGAGCGGATGGTTTCCGCGGCCACAATCGATGGGCGTCGAGGAACGGAGGAAGAATCAAAGGGCTTGCGCTCGTCCTCATCAAAGTGGTGACCAATGAATGACGAAGAGGAAAGGAAAGCCGGACCGCGCTCGTCGAGGACACGGGGAAGCCCACCGGAGGAGCCGGGCCGAGGGCGGTGGTGATCAGCGCGTGCCCCAGTAGAAGCTCCAGCAGCGTTAGGGGCAGCAGTCCAAGCACTGGGCCGATCATGAGGCCTCGATGATCTGCATCAGATCAAGACGAGACGGAAGATATTAGGGTTTCATAGATGAAAACGAATGCGTTGATAAGACTTACACGCCCGGAGCGGAAGGGAGTGTAAGCTCGGAGGGGATGGAGCCTCCATGGAAATCCTTAAGCGTCATCGTCATCGATCCCGCGGAAAACTTCTTCTTCGACATCTCTCCTCTCGCTCTAGCGGAGGTCCGAGGAGGACAAGAGGGAGGGTGGACGGTGACCGGCAAAGACGGGAAGTCCTTTTCTCGGCTCGGGAACAGCTTAAATAGTCCGGAAAAAAAAAAAAACCCTTGGTTTCAGCAAAATAGTGAAAATATGCGCCACGGATGGAATTTAACTTATAAGGAATTCCCGGTAAGACTTCATTATTAATTACAATAAGATCTATAAAATATTAAAATATCAAAATAAATCGTTTAATTTTATATTTACTAATTACCATCGAGTTAAAACAAAATAATTATTACAACTCAAAAAAAAATTATTTTATAAGCAATGTTGTGAAATGTCGCTTCTTCAACGTCTGAACAATATAACTTCTTTAGCAGTTTGTTAGCGTATATAAATTATTAAATAATTATTAAGATATCATTAACATAAGACATAGTTGGTGGAACCTTTGGATAATTCATTATTGATTTTCAACGATGTTATTGTATTGGATGTCCAATATTTGCAACCTTTTATAGCTCATGTGGCACTCATCAAGGATATTCAAGAAGGCCCCTTTAAATGGAAAAATTATTGCGTCCGGTCATCGGACGCGCAGAATAGGTTCGGACATCCAATAAAAACATGCCACGTCACTTGCTTTTGACCGCGCTTTTGCTTGCGCTTTACCTGCGCTTTTGATGCGCTTAATTTAAAAAAATATTTTATTAATATTCGGGCCTATCTCGTCGTATGATGATCGGATGTAATAATTTGCCCTTTAAATGTGTTATGCTTGAACTAATTAATGATAACATTAACATAGAAGGAAACAACGACATCATTTCAACTTCAATTCACAAATCACATAATTTTGAGTTCTTGCAAATGGCATTCCTACCAAATCATCATCATAAATAATATCGTCACTGATAAAGAGATTGACGAATAATTTTATGCTCTAATGGGTGAGAAAGAAGTGCGTCGATTTAGAATCACTCGATAAGGTAGAAGTTGACTCAATAACACGATTATCTGACTCTTTTCTTGTTTATGTATATCACTTGTAGAAATTATAGAAGTGGTCCACGATAAAAAAAAAAAAAAAAAAACATTACTATTGACTATCTTAAATGGATACAATGTCATATATTATTGATTATTCTAAATATAATACTTGTCATAAAGATTATGGCCATGATGCTAAAGATTATCAACTCCTCTATAATCTTGTTGAGGAGCTTATTCTCACAAGCGCACTCAAAGAGTTTTTTTTTTTTTAATCATGTAGGAAAATTTCTTCTTCTTTTTTTTTAGTTCTAAAGTTATAAATAAAGAAAAAAATCATATTAAATTTCAATAAACTCTTTTCATTATAAAAGAAACATTCTGATCTTATAAATTCACAATTTTAAATTACAGTATATACTTGGGGAACTCATCCCAAGGTAAATAAAAATAAAATGTTTATTCATTAACATTGGACTGGGAAACTTAATCTTAGAATTAGTCATTCAATTTACATGTGACCATTCAAAGTTATGAAAAGTATTTTAAATGAAGAATAAGAATTTTTTAATTGCTAATGGAACTAGAACACTTCGGTGATGTACATGTGAGCATTGCGGCATTAAGGTTGAGAACACTGTGGAGCTAGAAAACGTTATCGTGACACTGATGTCTCTATTATACAGTAAATCTGATTTCTTCATGCGGTGCTGTAATTCTGAGATTGAGCATTACGGTGTTAGGCCACTTTTTTTTCTTTAATTCCCTTACCACCTCCCTCACACCATCACTCGTGTGGCTTGACTGGGAAGAAATGAAGGAGAAGGGTGCGAAGATGAGAGAGAAAGTTTATTGGGCCATTTTCGTCCATCATTTCTTTTACGAAAAGTGTTTAAATTGTTATAGGTAATGCCTCTCACTCCTGTTTTTGATGATTTTGACTTCTATAAATTTATCTGTCCTAAATATGCATAAAATATATTATCTATTGATTTTGTAAGTTTTCACAGTGTAACTTCTGATATATTATAGATTTGATCATTTTAAATGATTTGATATAATTTTATTACATTTTAACATGTTAAATTGGTGTAGAAATTTAGTTGTGAAATGTGTGTGAAGATGTGTAATGAAATTGATGTGAAAATAATGTATTGTGATTGGTAAGATGTTTTGAATTGTACGACGTGTTGAAATGATTGATATGTATTGGAATATAATATTGGTTTGGCTGATAAAGGAAAGGATGAATTGTATGGATGTTGATATTGATCTGATAGAAAAGGAGTTAATGATTAATATCATATATATGGAATAATAACTCTATAATGATATAATGATTCAATTTCAAGCAATGGTTGAGAGTTACAAGGAGCAGGAGATTAATTGGGAGTCATAAGTGCAAGAACAAGATACTCTTAAGATACCTTCATACGAATATATGATAGAATACTTATTATTGACTATAGAATGTTGAGTACTAAATGATTACTAATTATTGTTATTGATATTGTAGATTAAATTGTACTGATGGTATTTATTGTTGATATTGTTATTGTTCCTAATGATACTGATACTATGGCCTGCAATATGATGTGTTATAAACTGGGCAATTGGTAGAGATAACTAGCATATATTTCTTTATATGATTTACAACATATTATTTCATTTTTATTGCATTAATTTCAGTTGTAAGATTTTAGTTACTTGTTGACTATTCACTCATTACGCAGTTTAAATGATTTCAGACAAAAAGCCTGCAGCTTGAGATTATGTTTGCATGTAGGGATGCTAGTGTAGCTTTTATTTTAGTTCTTTGATTTATGTATTCTTTTATAGCGAGAGTGACTATTATAGATATTGTTTTATATTATATTGTTATGATGTAATTCTGGACTATCTAATGTGAATTTAGTTTTTCTCTATTTATTATGTCTCTGTAATGAAATTAGTTAGCTCTGAATGTTGATATTGAACTAGTTTCAATGATTGATTAATGAATTGAAAATATAATAAAGATTGAAATAAAAAGATTAAAAAAAAATCTTTCACTCTAGATCCCGAGACATAACATAACATGACATAGATATCTTGATAATCTTAATAAAATAGAATTCATAAGCTTTAAACTTGCCACTCAAAAAAGAAAATTGTTCTTTAACGCTTAGAGAATCATTATTGATCTTGATATTTTAATTGACCAACTTTTTTTTAACTCGAGTCAACTAAACTTCAAATAAAAAAGAAATTTGTGATGTCAACAATGTAGATCAAAATCAAAGAAACTAGTTTTTTTGAAATGCATACTCAACTAAGAGTCCTGCTAATGTAAGTGAATGACTAGAGTTGTCAATACTCAGGGGTAAAGTCTAAAAGTGTGAGATTACTACTCTCTGCAAGCTAGCTTAAGCCCCCATAAAATAGAGCAATCAACAATTAGGAATAGTACCCCTACCACTTAACTTAAAGTATTAATTTCATTCAATGAATAAGTAAAATATAATGAATTGAATAAACAATATTAAATTTATGAGTTGGCCATTAGATTATTCTTTATTCTAGCTCGTCAATAAGTTTTCAAATTATTTTTACTCATAGAAAGGCAACTAGCTAGCCTCATATTCAAGAATATTTATTCCCTATTATTATATTAATTTTCTTATGAATTCTCTGTTATTCATTGGAAGTTCACATTATCAAGCACTTGTACATAAAACTAAAGTTAATCCATGAAGCACAAACTCTACTCTTTGCGATGTAATCTATATCGAAGAGAGAAAGAGAGAGGTAGATCCATACTAGCTATGAGTCTTAAAAGATGATTAGTCTTATAGCTCTAAGGTAATCTAAGTCCATATATACAAGACATCAACTTGTGTAATAAAAATATACTAAGGATAAAGTTGTCATATAAGATTTAGAATGGCAATCAATAATTTCATTTACAATTAATGGTCTATTACAAAATTGAAGAATATGAAATTAGTTGGTTTGCACTATTACCATTACCATGGGTATTGTCATTTGGATGGTTTAGTACATTTTTGGAAAAAGAAATTGATATATCTTCATATTTTGTTAATATGATGAAGTTTTATAATTTTGTCCAAGCTATATATTATGCCATCTTTATACTTGACCTAAGCATATTCAGCATATGTCTTATAGTAGATGAACTCATTTATTACATTAATCTTGGATGGTTGTGGCTACACTCGACCTTCTAAGTTTTAATCTTACTTAGCATTTTCTTTCAACTTAACGAACTTCATATTTTTTGCATCTCTCTCATGTAGTGAAATGTCCAACTTACAAATTCTAGCTCTAAAGTTTATCGAGTATGCCAAGCTTCATTGACTTACTTATGACTCTTAAAGCAGAGACTCTTACGTTTTCTACACTATTCCATAGATCAAACTTCTTTTGCTAGCTAGTAGTACTATAAATTGCCTCAAAATATGCTATTTGATGCCAAGCTTGCCCTAGTTCGCCTATCTTCATCACTATATTTTTTATAAATAATCTTTCAAATTCATGATGACAAATTTTTCCTTTATTTGCTCAGACTTATGAACTTTTAGTTAAGTTCTCAATTACATACACTTTTTTGTAAAATGAAACAAATAACTTCTTTGCTCTAGTTCTAGATTCCAATTCCTTCATTGAATTACTCTTATCACTGGCGATTTCCTATGCTCCCTTGAATTAAAGGGGATTGATTGCTAATTGAGAACCCATATGCGCATCACCAACATATAGATATTGATGTGCGATATATTACTAAAATGCTTAGGCAAAAACTCTAAGAAAATTGTCAACCTGAGGTCATATGTGGCCAAGCCGAGCCTTTCATTCAACACTAGTGGGCCAAGTTAGCTATTGCTCTCTTGAATTCCTCCAATTAAAATGGAAACTTGCATTTTTATAAATAATGCTTGAATTACTTCATGAGGGTGAAAAGGAGCTTCTTCACTTGTCCACTTCTAATGATAAAACTCTTCTACTACTAAAAATCGATGGTATTGATATGTTGAAGTGATCTTAATAATTGTAGGGATTTTGTTAGAAATCAGAAGCTCTATAGAGAAAAATAAGTCGAGGCAAGTTAATTTAGCTTAATCTATAAGTACATAATTTAAAATTCAAAATTAAAAATAGGAAGATTTATCTAGCACCTCACGCAAACATTGAGCGATGCCCTATTGGCAACTTGAAAAGTTTTCTTATGTCAACTTCAAACATCTCCTAAATCATATTTTATGTTGTGTAATGATGAAAACCAAGAGATTAATATATCATTTTTCATAAATTATGCATACTCATCCACAAAAAGGGAAGATGTGATAGCTTAATTTCAGACATGTTAACTTATTTGGTAATAATTGACCACAAATATTTCTTAACTTAACCAAAAAAAAAACATCCAATCCCTTGACTTATTTTCTAATCATGTAATCATTAGATATATGAGAGAGAGTAAAATAGTATCTTTTTTTAAAGCCATGAGGGTGAACACATTCTTGAAAAGGTTGATGCTCCATTCTAGTTATTCTTAGGCAGTGATATGATTGAAACAATAATCAAGAATTCACCATTTTTTATGCTAAAAAGTAAAAACAATACATAAATAGTGAATATCTTATCAATTTCTAGGAAGAATATAGGTAATTGATCAAGATGAAACTGATCTCAATAGAAGCACAACTCACCCTATGAAAATAAGTTGGGGTACTCATCAAGTTATGGTGTCCTTCATGTGAAGTTGCCACCTAAGCCAAACTCCAACTCCATTGAGTTCACTCCACTTCATAACTAACAAGAAAACTTAGATATGATTTCATAAAACTTTTAGGAATATTAATCATTAAAGCTCCCATTAATGTGTCAGATTAAGGTGACGGGAAGAAATAAGTAGAAGAAGCTCAAGAATTTTTGAGGGACAAACTTGAATGAAATTCATGCAATTGCTAAATATCATAAGTAAATAATGACAAAAGCAATGAGCTATTTATAGCCAAAGATGTGCAAAACCTCTATCGTCTCAATCATATCCATGTGATTTATAATCATCATGTGTCAAATAAGTTGTCTCAAAAGACTCATTATCTTTTCAATCAATGTTGATGAATTAATTTCCAAAATACTATTTTGCATTTTACTACCATATTATCAATATCAAAAGACTTATAACAATTAGAATTTATTCATTAACATGACTAAAATATTTTTCACATTAAAAGAGGGAAGGTAAAAACTACCAACCTTTCTAATTTATAACTATATCAATATAATTTATGTAACATAGATAAATCCATAATAAGAGATAAGACCTCTCATTTTTAAAAACCAACACGACTCCACATTACCCACTCTTGAGTCTAATTCCTAACTTTTGCTCCTATCGAACTAGCCATGTCCAAGCCTTACGCAAACTCTCCATCGACAAGTGAACGAATGAATTTTCTTTCCATACTTATTTCTCGATCTTATACACTAAACCCGTAAGACTTAACCCTAATCCACATAAAACCCTTCCAAAGGTTTTCTCCTTACCTCCATACACCATCACCAAAGTAAATGAGTACATTATCTCCTCTATTAACAAAGTTTAAGTGATTTACTATTATGTTATCATGATTATGGGTATGCCAAATTGATCATGATAATTCCATTTAACAATTGTTTGGATTATATTCAAAAAAATATTAATTTTATATAAAAATGCATATAATGTTATCACTTGGAGTTTTAATATAATAAAGTTATTCAGTATGAAGGTTTAAATTATGAAATAAAATAAAAACTATATTATCATAATTCTATAAAGGAAATTTAATATAACCTTTGTTCGACTCGTTTAATGATCAATGTCAAATTATCTTCATATAGGTCCCAATCAAATAAAAAAAAAAGTCAAATTATCTTCAATGAAAGGTCAAACATAGGCTCAGTTATGATTGATAAAGTGCAAATGTTTAATAAATTTTACGAACAATGTATTGATTGTATTCAAGCTTCATTTGACACTTTTAGATCAATATTGATCACTAGCTGAAAATAGGAGTTTTTTAGTCTAAACTAGGGGGTGTCAATTTTTGACACGACCCGCACCCGACCCGGAAAAATCCGGGTTCGGGTAAACTCGAACCCGAAACGTTTCGGGTTCGGTTCAACAAATCAATCTGTTTTAAAAATCGGGTCAGGTTCGAGTTGACCCAACAACCCGAAATTGACCCGAAAGTGACACGAAAACTCATTTTTGACCCGAAAACCCAAGATTGACCCATTTTTTACTCGAAAACTCGAGATTGACCCGATTTTTTACCCTAAAACTAGCAATTTTGGGTCAACCCCGGGTCATTCGTGTCGGGTTGGGTTGACCCGGACCCGAATTGGGTCGGGTTCGGGTCCAGAAACCTTACCAGTTTTTAAAAACGGGTCGGGTTCGGGTTGACCTGAATAGTGCCGTGTCAGTTCGGGTTCGACCCGAACCCAACCCGTTGACCCCCTAGTCTAAACGAAACTATTAGACATATTTTTTCAATTTTGAATATTGTGAAAATAAATATTTTAATTTTCTCATATAATAAAATGTCAAATTAAAAATTTAAGAATTAGTTTATACATTATTTGATTTATACTTTAATAAAGTAGCGTTAATTGAGATATAAAAGAAATTAAAAAGAGCAACAATATCGAACTACTTGTTAATTAACTAAATAAGTCTTGTTGGGTACTTGGGCATATTAAAGAACAATTTAATTAGATAAAAAATGGAATTATTATTAACTTATTAATTAAATATTTTTACAAATATTTAAATTTATTCAATTAAATGATAATAAACGAAGCCCTAAAGCTCGATGTTGCTCCATTTGAAGCCATTAAAACGCTCAACATCGCAGTCTCAAGACCCGTCAAACTTTACCCATCAACCCTTTGGGAGTGCAGAGTTTCGCGAGGCAGAAACCGAGGGTTTGAAGCATCAGTGGCTAGCAGGCGAGTCAATGTAAGAACTTGTTGCAGAATTTAATTCTTTCGCGTACTTAGGTGTGTTCTTTCTTATTCTTTCTCATTCAGATCGACGTATGATGATTTTCGCAGCTATTTTTACTCTTATGAATTTCCTTATTTGATTGGAAACATCATGTATAATTTTGGGTACAGGTCTGGCATTTTTGCTTTGCTTTCTGTCTGCAAAAGAAATGAAATTCTCTGTATATTTAAATCAGGATGACCTAGTTATCTTTAGTCAATTCAGTAAAGCAAGAGTATTTTCAGGAAGTTATTAATCAGACGGTCGTCAAAGTTGATCGAAGAGATTGCTAGAAAGTGAGGACGGAGGATAAGTGAAGGGTGAAGGTTATTCTGTTTTGCAAATGGAGGTTCCAGGGTTTATGATTGAAATTTGCCGATATTTTTCCTTAACTAAATGAAAAATTATAGGAGTTTTGAGTTTTGCGGCAAACTGTTCTATTTGGTTGAGCTGCGTTTTTGCTTGCAATCTTCATTGGAAGCAGCCACTTTATGTTCCTTGAAAAGCAATGTGCACAGCTCACTTTTTATATGTTTTTTACTTATGGATCATTTGGTTGCTTTTAGATAGAAAAGACATCTAAAAAATGATTAAATTTGCTAGATTTCATCATTTGGTTTGATGTAATTTAAAATCGATAAGGTTTTTAAACTTCCTGACATAAAATCATTTCATTTTTACACTAAAAAAATGAAAGTGAAATGTCACCACTTGCTAAAACATGTTTTTTTCATCTTCAAGCAGCTAAATATGTTCTTAGTTTAATTCCTGCACCAACACAAATTCTATCTTTCCTGTTTTTACAAAATCTGAATCACTGCTTGTATTGTTATTTTAATATCTCTCTATTAGTAGTTTTTGAATCTGAAGTATTTTGTGATATTGCCTGCGTTAACTTAAGCATTAGTTGACAGCTAAAATGAACATGATTGATGAACTTTTATACTGATAAATGTATGCCTATAGTTATGTATCTACATTTTTGTATTTTCATTTACTCATAACTAATTAATTGTATTAACTTTGTTTTCATTCATACTTATATAGTTACATAGCCTAATCCAGAATTATTCTTTTTTCACTTTCTCAACAGTGTTTGCCATTGCTATCCTTGAAGAGCTGCATTTTCATTTCTTAAAATTGAAAAAAAAAAGTACAAAAGAGTACAAGCATGGATACTCCAATATGAGTTCTCCTTCTCCCTCATCAGAAAAAAAAAAAAAGTAGAGAGAAGAACATTGCTATCTATATCATTTCATACATAGTGGAAAAAGAAGATGAAAAAATTAGAGTTAAGACAAAGTCTTTGGTTGGTTCTTTCTCTCTTATTGTAAAAGGTAGTTTTAGAAACAATGGTTAAGGAAATGGAGTTTTCTAATGGAGAAGCAAATATCAAAAAGCTTCTCAAAACAGTAGAAAAATAAAGTTCCCTAAAAATCATTTTTATAAAAGCGTGTCATCCAAACAACGACCAAAATAATTTCTCCGTTTCTAAATAGAAAAGGAAAAAAAAAAAGCCCGAAACAAACAAGGCCTAAAAGAAACCCCTCGATTGCCAATGATTGTCCAGCTATGTTGCAATGCCCTCTGCAACTTCCATAAAAGAACCGCATCATTGGCCACTGGAGGGGAACACATCCTCACTTGTTATGTCATATGGAGCTGCCTTCTTTTCCTCAGGAATGTTGTAACAGGACAAAGCTGTAGAAATTCCTTGTGGAAGTGTGCTTTGGTGACTCTACTACTTTGTTTTGTGGTAGTTAAGGTTTTCTTGGAAATGTGCTCCATTAGCTGAACTTTTTGGCTGAGAACACATGTTGTATACTGTCAAGGACACAATCAACTTCTCTTTCTACAAGCTTGGCCCTCCTTTTTGATTCATCGAGGCCCTTAGTGCTCCTTTTTTGGATCTATCTTGTGTCGCCGTCTTTCCCAGCCTTGGATTTAGATATGCGCCTCCTTTAGACCAAAATCCAAGGCCCATACCATTCTTCCTCTTACTATCATTGTTTTGTTCTATTATGTCCGCTTCCTTTACCAATCCATCGAGTTTTGGTTCTTCATGGATGCAATCATCTAATGAGTGGGTTGCTGGATTGGATGGTGAAGCCTGCTCTTTCACAAAGGGGTGTGTTGCTACTATCAATGTTAAGGGCTGGCTGAGAGACATGGGCTTGGGCTATGCAATGATTGCCCACATTTGGATTGGCTGAGAGTTGGTATTGACCTCACCTTGCTGCATATGAGGTGAAAGCTGTGGTTGGGGCTGCATTGGACTTGGTTGGTTCGGCTTGTTTTTGGGGCATTCATCCATCTTATTACCAATAAGACCACACTGAAAGCAGATTGGAGAAAGCCCCTCAAATTCCACTTTTTGGAAGAACTTGCCATAAAGGCCCTTTATTCAAACTCTAGGTTTTGATAATTAATATCCCGTTGAGTCTCTTGGGCATTCATGCAAGCACCATACGTGCAGTGAGAAGACCTTTTCTGGTAAATTATAGCAACATGAATTCTCACACACCTGCTTGGAACTTTCCCATCAACGCATAAATCATTCTAGAGCCATCTCTCATACAATTATTCACCAAAACCTCTTGATCTGCACAGCCCCTATAGGATTCATCCAATGCCATGTCATTTACCTGCATGGGCTCATGAACCTGCTCGTAAGCTTCTTGCGGGTTGACAATGATTTCAGAGGCATCTATGCTAGAACTTTTATTCCATTTGCATTTCTCCAACTCTTTTAGTTAACTTTCTATCAGTATTGTACCACAGTTCAGCAAATTGGACCGCATATGGTCTCCGGTGTTAGCTCGAGTAAGTTGAGCTGAATGTGAACTGTAGTCCGACCTTACATTCTCTCCTCCTATGGTAGTAGCCACTGGTTGGAAGTTGCAAGCCTCCACGACCTGTTGGTCATGCTGACTTTTATGCCCAATCCCACCGAACCTTGCAACCTGTGCTGTTAGTGAAGTGTCTCAAGGGGTGAAATCAACAATGTCTTGAATTTCCTTCGTCACCTTGAAGAGAACCATCTTCTTGACCCTCTCTGTCGAGCGGTTGCGAGATCTATCCCTCGACCTGTCCCGTGATTGTCCAGAACTTGACAAAGCTCTATCGACCCGACCCCTTTTCACCAGGTTGACCCAAGCACTTTGGCCGATAATCTCAGAGCCACCTTCATTGAGAACCTTCTTAGCACATTCCGACTTCACCCATCTTGGAGCAAGGAGGTGACCCTGGGTAACCCTCTCCCATGAAGCTTCTCTCTCTACAAATCACTCTAGTGATAGAAAGAGAAGGAAATAAATGATTAGTTGCATGTATATCAGATGAAATATCAGAATAGTATTAATAGTGTAATGCCATGGTAAGATGTAAGTGTTCTCCATCTTCCTTTTTGCTCAAAAAGCGGGATATTTTGGAATATTTTGGGTATTTTGCCCCCCTCTCAAAAAATTTTTTTGTCCTCATTTAATCAATCCTAAGCATCTTTGCCCATACCCCACAAAAAAATTTTTTTTTTGCCCACCCTGAAAAAAGAAGCTGGATCCGCCCAGGTGACCCTGGGTCACCCTCTCCCATGAAGCTTCTCTCTCTACAAATCACTCTAGTGATAGAAAGAGAAAGAAATAAATGATTAGTTGCATGTATATCAGATGAAATATCAGAATAGTATTAATAGTGTAATGCCATGGTAAGATGTAAGTGTTCTCCATCTTCCTTTTTGCTCAAAAAGCCTGATATATTGAAGCTATAAATTAAATGTTTAAAATTCTTTCGTCAATCTTACTTGGATAAGATTTCCACCATCAGCATTTTCTTGTTGCATAGGCCCCTGAGGATTTATCTCATCTATGGACGATTGGCCACAAATGTTCGAGCATTTTTCTTTCTTGTACACTTTTCTTTTGGAAAATTTGTGCGCCTGTAGAAATTATGGAGTACTGTATACTAGTTTCTGATTTGAATTTTTAAATTAATTCTGTTGTATTTAATTTTAAGAAGAAAGACTTCGATCAACGCCATGGAATTGGCTGATAAGGCGGTTGGATTCTTGCTAACTATTATCAGTTTGTCTATATTCTCTTACTATACTTTTTGGGTCATCATTTTGGTAAGTTTAACTGCTCTCGCTATGTTATTTTACATTTGTTCTATCACTTAAAAACTTATATTCTATTTTATTGAATTTCTTACTTGCAGCCTTTTGTGGAGAGCGATCACTTCATTCATTTGTACTTCTTGCCTCGTGAGTATGCTATCATCATACCTTTGTTTGCTGGCATCACACTCCTTAGCTTCTTATCTGTCTTTATTGGGTATGTTTTGCTCAAGTCAAAGAAGAAAACTGCCTGATTTTAAGTGTTTGTTTTGTTAATCCATTAATTTAAATGGAAGATACTCTTTTTATGCAAAATATGTTCAGATTCTGGCAGTGGTGATAATTTTCTGTAATGGAATTGAAACATTAGATTTGTTTTTACACTTGTGAATTCAGTACCTAAGTACCTTTTTTCCCAATGAACTAGCAAACTCCTAGCATGAGAATATGTAGAAGTTAGATGATGGAGGTATTGTCTTTCATAGTGTTAGGGTCAACCCGAACCCGAAACGAGTCAGATTCGAGTTTAACAATCGATCCATTTCAAAAACATGGTTGGGTTGATCCAGAAATTCGAAATTGATCCAAAAATCAATTCTTGACCCAAAAACCCTAGAAAGACCAGTTTTGACCTGAAAATCAGAGATTGACCCGTTTTTTTTTACCCGAAAACTAGCAATTTTTTATTGGCCCCAGGTCATTTAGGTTGTGTCGGGATGACCCGGACCTATAGCGGGTTGGGTTTGGGTCAAAAAAACTGACACGCTTGCAAAAATGGGTCGGGTTCAGGTTGATCCGAATAGTGCCAGATCAGTTTTAGATTGACCCGAATCCGACCCGTGACTCGAAATTGACACCCTTACTTCCAGCTTCAGCCATTTACTATGCAGATTAAACTTATTAATATGAACAATGAGACTAAAAATCAATGAGGGTAGTTAAAAATTAGCAATTTAACATTATATGGAACCATTACCATCAGAAAAATACAATTTTTTGGCCACAGTGGATGCTTAGTAGTCACAAATAAATTGACTCGCTTCGTAATTTCACACCAGATGATTCAATAGTTTAATGAATTTTATTTTATTTTAATGAATGCTTACAGGCTAAAACTGCTACCTTCCAATATCTCACAAAAATGGCGTATAGAGAGATTTAAAACAGTGTTGCATGATATAAAACTCGACGGGTCCAGCTTTCGGTTACTTAAAAGCTGAAAAGAGCATGAATTATTTATTCGATAAAAAAACATTGTAGCATATGATCTACAATTACCCTAGCTTGATTTTCACTGTAACCCCATAGTTTTGCAAGATAAATTCCATGCCTACTTCATATTTTAAGTATAAAAAGTTTATTCGGAGCCTCCAAACGTATTCAGGCTAAATCAAAACACGACATGCAATCGAAAAAAAGCTAGAAAAAATAGTTTTTTTGCTTTTCTAGCGACCAAATAATGTAAACAAATTAATCAAATCAATTAAAATTATATTATTATTATTATTACTACTATTATAAAAGGAGCTTGAGTTTTCTTTCATAGCAAATCCTGGTTATCCATTTTAATTAATTTTAATTATTCAAATTCAATCTTAATCTTTCATTTTTCTTATTATAATTATAATTATTCAGTAATTATAACTTTATTTGATGTATTAATAAGCACCTCTTGGATCATGTTTCACGTCAAGTATATCTAAAACGAACGCGAGTCCCTTTGGATACAACCCCAATTAGGCTTTAAGGTTTTGCATGAAGAAAGAGTCACTACTTGTTCGCCTTCGTTGGTCCTGTCGGAGTCACTGCTTCTTGCTTCGTTGCTCGGAAGTCGCCTCGGGAGTTCACTGCGAAGGTAATGATCTTTATCAAGCCTTCTTTGTTCTCGTTCCTATTGGCTTGGAAGTCGAGACAGGAGTTCGCTGCAAAGGTAACATTTTTTTTCTCCATTTTCTCCTTACGTGCTTCTTCAACTGTCAAAGTCGCTGCTTCTTGGCCTTTGTTGCTTGGAAGTATGCATCGGGAGTTGGCTCCGAAGGTAACAAAAACTAAAAAGTCATTGCATCGTTATTCTAAGGCTTCGTTTGGGATGGCTTTTTTACTGCTGCTTAAATCAATTTTTTAGTAAAAAAAAATTTATTTTTTGTACTAAAAAGTTGTTTTAAGAAACAGGAAGAAAGCTGTCCCAAACGAAACCTAAGTGATGAATGGGACGCTTTCCAACCGTTAAATTCTTCACCGCTTGCCGGTGGCGGTGGAGAAGTGGGAGAAGATGATGATCCTTTAATATTCTCTTATGATCCGATGGTGGACGACGGATTCCTTCGATTCACCGCTACCTCTAACTTTCTTAACAAAAGTATTTTTAAATTTCTTAACAAAAGTATTTTCATGAAGAGATTTTAAATTTGAGATTTGCATATGCAGTTTATATATGAGTTTATGATTTAGTTCATTCTAATATTAATAAAGGCTTTAAAGCGAGAGCTTATATTTTAAAAAAGAATATTTGCTAAGTTTTAGTGTTTGTTTGACATAACACTCTCACTTATTTGTTTTTTAATCATGACTATGGCTTTATTTGATTTTTTTTATATAAATTTTTATGAGAGAGTTATTTTTAACAATCAGAATAATTTTAAGAAAGTAATTATTAGATTTTTTTATAAATGAATGTATTTATAATTGGTGCAATGGGATCCTGCACAGAAGTTTAGCCGAGCAAACAGGAACAAAGCAATAGAACAGTAAAACTACTGGTTCTGTAATTCTTCTATGAAAAATGAAAAGCTGCCTCTCCCTTTCCTCCCTAGCACATATATCTGCTTCTATAATCAAGCCTATTCTAAAAATAGTATAAAGGGAAATATTCTGACTAAATAACTAACTAAAGCAAAACAAGTAATAAAGTAAAGGATAGTGGCTCCATTTCTAACAGAGCATGTGCAGGTAAGTTATGCCTCCAGTCCCCTTGCTAAAGATGCTCCGCATCAGATTCTTTTACATAAAAAAATTATTTATGAAATCATCCAACTATATGTGTTTGAGTTCGATGTTACACTGGCATAAGATAGTTAAGCTCATCCTCATCTTCATGTCAGAACATTTGATCAAATTTTTTATCAGGATGGCCTTTTAAGCCTTTGAATTTATATGCTTTGAGATTAGTATTGAATATAAATAGTTTATGTTGAACTCATCTCAATACAAATCCAAGTATTTTAAATCATATATAAATTATATTGAAGGGAAGTTCGTTTGGTGGTCTTGAAGGGGTTGTAGATGGTAGGAAGTCCGTTATGGACGTAGAGTATTATGCCTTCCTTGTCAATGGTGGAGCCGGCGGCCGCAATGTTGTGAACAAGTATCTTAATTTGATAAAGATATTGTTGCATCGTACGATCTTTCATCTGGATTTGATGGAGCTCATTCTTGAGCTGTATGACACGGGATTGGATGGTGGGTTGAAGACGGCGTTCTAACGTGGACCACACGTAAGGAGCGATGTTGAGAGTGAGAATGTATGGTAGAGTTGATGACGAGATTTTAGACAGAAGGGCGGAAACAAGATTGCGATCAATGAGTTTTCATAGGTTGTGTTCGGTTGCTGTGGATGCTGGTGGACACACCGTAAGACCAGTGAGATGGCCATGGAATCCGTTCGCGGAGAAGTGTTAGAGTTGCAATCGCCAAATTGCATAGTTCTTGGGTAAGCTGTGTGGGGATGAGATTCTTGATGTTAGATATGAGAAATTTGATAGGGGTGGGGATTACAAACTCGGTGAAAGTATCATAGATGTTTGACGCCGTCCGATGGGAAGCCGAGGACTCTTGCTCGGCCATCAAAATAATCAGGTAGAAACTGTAGAGCAGATTTGCTTTTATACCATAACAGAGCTCTTGCACAAGAACAAGAATACGAACAGGAAGAAGAACGAAATGGAGAGAAGAGAAAGAAAATATTATATGATTATCATATATCCTACAGTTATTACAAAGAGAGCTATATATAGATAGGATGTACAAAAGATGAGTCAAGAAAGTACAATAACGCTACGTGACGCGTACATGTGTGCTAACATAACATTCATTGAGAATTATTTTCTGTTTAGTGCAGGGGCGGAACCCAAAAAAAAATCTTTATTATATAGCTCTTTAGGTATTTTAGTCTTTATTACAAGGGTTTTTAGGCAATTGCCCCCCAAAAACTTTTAAAACACTATGATCATTAGGAAATTGCCCCTACCAGGTCGAACCCCGCCAGGGGGGTGCTACCCCCTTGCATCCCAGACAACTATTTATAATATTGAATGTCTGGTATCTAACTTTTTGAAAATGTTGGAGAGTGTTCAATTCAAATCCTGGTTTCTAGCACACGTTGGAGCGCAATGTGCAATTCTGGTTTCTTAGGAGCATAATGAAGGCTCTGAGGAAAGCTGAACTGCGGAAGGGCGGAGAGCTGGCTAGAGTGCGGACTGTGGCAACACATGCAAATCAGAAGCGGAGGCACGTGCGAACCGAAGAGGTGCCTGTGAACAGCCGCAACAGGATGCAGTCCGCGACAATGCGTGCGAATGGAAAAAAGGGCGAAGTGCGTTCACGAGCTGCCGTCTGCTAGCTCGAATCACATAATTGAGCAACTCGACAAGCCCTTTTCAGTGGGACGAGTCAAGCTTGAGCTCGTATTTTGATCTTGACTCGAGTTCAAGCTTAAGATTTGGCTTGCGGGTCATTCTTTAATTAGACTTGACTCGAATTATACTCGACTCATTTGCACCCTTAGGAAATAGCAAGTACCTCAAACTCATAACTGAAAATTCCCTTTTTGCATAAGCAGCCGTAAAACAATTTTTTTAACTCAGAACCTCGTGGGCTTCTATGTCGCTTTATGCTTTCTTTTTTTAAAAAAATCTATATATTAAGCAAACCATTGTAATTAAACTCATGAACTTAGCTAGGTTGCTAGAAGAAAAGGGCCTGTATTTATATGTCGGCAGTGACCACACCCTTTTTTGCATGTCTCTTAGGTCATGCATGAAGTCATTCTCAAACCTCATCCATCCATGCACGTGGAAGCTGTGCCATTCTCCCCCATGCAATTCTATTCATTTTCTTTTCTTTTGAATTCTTTTGAGAAGGCTGCAAGAATTCAAAAATGTTCTGCAAAGATCTTCAACCTTAACAGCTTAATTAGATCATCTGCTCAATTATTTTTATTGGTCTTTTCATCTCTTGAGAGGTTTATATATATTAATTGTCATTTAATCCGGTAAATAGTTAGGATTATATTTGTTAAAATAAGCTAAAATGATGATAATTTTGAAAATGATTAATATAATTTTTTATAGAGAATCCAAATCCTGGGTGGTTGATCCCAGCAACATAAATAATTAAGACTTTATTTGTGACTTTTTTTTAT